TAGAGGAAGAGAATGGGTGCCTCCCTGTTTGTTGACGTAGTACATTGCTGTCGCATTACCCGTAGTCACTTGGACAGCCATGCCTAGGTTGAGAGGTAGGAGCGCCTGAAACGCTTTGAAGATGGCCAGCAATTCCAGATTGTTAAAAAGGAGAAAGCTTTACTTCACTTAGCAGGTGTCGTAGATATGAAGACTGGTACAGTGGGCTCCCCATCTGACCAGACTGGAGTCTGTCATGATTCTCGAGGTAGGTAGGAGCGAAGCAAACATTTGTCCCAGGAACAAGTCTTCTGGGTTGATTACCAGTGGAGTTGGTGTACAAGCTCACGAGTAATCTAGAGGCGTATGTAGAGCGTATCTGTCATGGGGTTAAACAGGGCAGATGCCAGCCCTGTAGGGACTGCATCTTCGGCCTCACGTGCTTTATGACAAATGTGGTGGAAATCATGAGTCCCCGAAGATTTTGGGCCTGATGGGCTGTGATCCAAGACAACGGAGGGGAGCGACATATCAGGGAACAAATTTTGACCGTGCCATTCTGGGAAAGGAAAAGCTCTTGCTGGCCAAGAGTCCATTGAGAGCTGAATGGCAAGGCACTGAACTCTAAAATGGGCCTTCCTAGAGAGAACGGAGGTATTCACGATGATCGCTTCTGAGGAGATGTGGAATCAGGCATCACTCAAGTCAATCAAAGTAAACCAGTCTCCTTGTCGAATTAGTGGAAGGATATGTTCCAAGGTCACCATGCCAAAACGGCACTGGTTGATGAAGAAAAATCAGGTCTCTTAGGTCTAAAATGGGGCGTAGTGATCTGGCTCCCACCTGGAGTGGCGGGAGATATGTATAAAATAGTTTTATACAATGGCAAACAAAAGAAATCCATAAATTTAGACTGCCAAACATACTCTTTCTCTTTTAGATCTAATGACTTCATTTCAGTATGCTTCTCGCTAGTCACTTGTTGGTTGTGCCTCCGACAGTAACTATAGATTGCAGGCAGGGAAAGTCATGGGTTCCTTTCTTTAGAAGCCACAAATAACCTAACATAGCATGTTGGGGCAGATGGGCTAGCATACTGCAGGGGAACTTCCAAGGTTGATCTAGATAAATGACCTGAAAGACCATGGGGAGGATTTTCTTCATATAATCATAAGGAAATAACTCTTACTGAATCCAGGCATACAGGAATGTTACCTGCATATGGCTCCATGAACTTGGGGATATGCTCAGAACAGACAGATGAGGCCTCTATGGCACAGAGCTCATATATAGATAGTTTGATTTTAGACAGCAAGCACCCCATAAATTACTTCAACAAAGGGAATTAGCAAATCTTTTCAAACTCCCAATCTGCTGGTAACACTCCTGCTAGGACCATCTTTAGCTCCTTGCATATGGCCACAGCTCTTTAACTCAGATTAACAGCAGCAACCCTGGTGCCAATGCCATATTTTACCAGGAAAAGGAAGAGACTCCTTCGCCCGACAACATGAGTAAGATGAGAAAAAGGCACAGGGATACTGAATCTGCGACCTGACATCTTTTGCTCAGAACAATAAACTACCTCTCAGCTCCTGCAAAGCCCAGAGGACTTTTAAAATGAAACTAGGCATTAAGATAGTACAGCCCCTCTCTGGGATTTAGAAGCAGGTTTACCTCACAGCTACATCTCTCAATGACCAGTTGCTAAAGACACAACTGGAAAATTAACTCCTTATTAATAACGCTGAAGGCTTAAATCACTTTTTGCAGCATAAGCTTTCCTTGTACACACACATATTCTAAAACAGGATTTCCTCTTTTCTCATAAAATGCAACATAGGAATTTAATGCTGGTTTCCCAAATGAAGCAATTGCTGAGACCAAATGTGTTCAGGGCTAGCATGAAATAAATCCTAAAGCAGAACATCCACATAAGAAGGTCAGCTGTTGCTTAGGAACTATTTGAGGTTATATGTCTTTTAAATATAGTCTTTCCCTTATCTACCATTCTGGGAAATAAACTCCTACTCCACAGGATTAACCGGGAACCCTAACATCAGCAATCTCTCAATTACTGATTTCTGAAGTTGGTTTTGTCAAATAAGCAACCCTCTAACTTCCACCAAAAATATTCAGATAAATCCTGCACCTTTTAAAATCTTGCTTACAGAGATTCTAATTGGACAAGAGTGTCAGACAACGGGGTGAGGGAACCCAATTTTTCTTATCAGTTGTCTCATAACTGTATTGCTCAAACACATACAAAAAGATAATGACTGAAGGATGACTTCTTGAGATTTCTGTTTTATTTTGAGTACAGAACAGACAATGCAATAGCTTTTCCCCACTGCAATTTCACAGTGACACCTTATGGAAAGTACGACAGATTCTACAGTCATATGTGGACAACTTGACTGAGAGTTGTAGGGCTGATGGAAGTCCCCAAGAAGGATCTGGATTACAGATATTAGGCTGCAACTAGACTGGACATGTGGGCCTGCTCCTAAATATGTCAGACTGGTGTCAAAGTTCTCTCTCCCTACCAAGTTTAGTCACACAAAACCATGCCAGTTGGACACCAGTAGTAGACAATGACCACCAGTGGTAGACAATATGCCTACATATAAGTTAGTTATATTGGCCTAAGTGCAATGTCTTAAACCACAATGGTGAATGCTGCTAGCTAACAAGTCACCACCTGTACTAACAAGGGATTCAAGTGGCTCAACACCAGTTTACCATTTTTGGCTGCAACATCATAATACTAAATTGTGTAAAGAAATATTTAAATTATATGGAAAAAATAACTCTAGGCACAGAGCAGTGCTTCAACTGAATATGCAAATAGTATGGTCCTCTTAATTATTCAGGAACAAAAAATAATATTTTCCAACAGAAGAAGAAAGAATCCAAAATATCTCAAAAGCAAATTGTACAAGGGTGATATATAAGTAAGGTGAGTGAATCAGCTATGCAGGCAATGGTGCGGGAGTATAATTGGTAAAACCTTATTTTCAAATTCGTACTATCATGAAGCCAAAGATCCCTTGTATGGATCCAAGGCACTCTTATTCTTGAAGGAAGGTTAACTTATTTCCACCCTCCTGCTCTGCAGCCCCTCTTCCTCTCCCACCAAGCCAAACAAAAACCTCTTAAGAAAAATCTCTTGATGCATCTCCAAAATCTCCGTGCAAGCTATACTACTTGGATAGACTCTTAGAGTAACATCTGGTTAAAAAGAATGAGTTTTAAAAAAAATTATATATTCCAGAGCTGGAAAAACTTAACTCATTAGATGTACAATGGAACAATATAAAGGATATTAACCTATTTTTAATTGTGGAAAGTGATCACTGCTGAAACAATCTATCAAGCCATACATCCTCTATTACTTTCTATAATATATACTTCCCAACAGTCATTATTTTCATGAGGGGCAGGTCTGCTTCCAAGTTTTGGCACTAACTCTATGACAGAATTTCACTCCCTAAGATGGTAGGAATTAGGGTAACACCATTTGGTCAAAATATTTCTTGGTTTTGTCTGTGCTGAAGATTGGGCTTCTTATTTTTTGCTGTTGCTATCTTTTTCTCTTGATGAAGTAGGGCTATATCCATTTCAGACAGTTGCATCACTAATGCTGTTTTGGTATTTACTATAGCTTTGTGAATTATTGTCTCCCATTACTTTTTATAATTGCATAGTTCTTGGGTTCCTTCTAGGACAAAGCGGAATTCTTTAGCCCTCCTACGTATATGTCTGGGATGCTGTGGATCATAGCAGTTCTCTGAAGTTCTTGCCAGCTTTCATTTGCGAACTCAAACCACTCCTCACTCCATGTACTCCTCAACACTGATGGTATCTCTCCCGTTCTTCAAAACATCCCTGTGCTGAGACTGCAAAGCTTTCAGGGTCCAAATCATTCCTATAGAAATGAATGGACAAGTGAAACTACCAAATGTGTAAGCTAAGTGGAGTCCATTCAGTCCCCAGTAATGCCTTAAAAGAGGAAGAAAAAATGACTTGCGTCTCTCTCTCTGTGTGTAATTATACCCCTTTCAAGGACACTGGAGTAACCCCTCTCCCCATTTTTAGTTAAGAGAAGTTTCTGTAAATTCCCTGAATGCAACTATGCTCCCTTAAAAAGTAGTAGAATGATCCAGTGATCTCAGAAGTGCCTTTTTCTTTAGGGAGGCTCATTCTATTCCCATTTGGCTTCATCACAACACAGGAGCTAGCGCTACCACAGCACAAGTTTGCGACACTTATTTCCTGTTTGCAGGAGGAAGAGGAGGAGATCTTCTTATGCTGTTGAATTACTCTTTCCATTATTTATTATGAGTTCATAAGCCTCTATAAAACTTCTGTTCGGTCCTCTCCGAAGATCCCATATTCCATATTTTGGCCACAATCCTACTGATGTTTACGTAAGGTTTGTACAACCTGCTGCAGCCAATTGATGAGCTTCTGGAGCACATCGTGGCCGTGCAACTGAGCATGTAACCAGGCAGAAAGCTAAGATGCGCCTCATCAATTAACTGCAGAAAGCTGCACAAAACCTTACACATATTCCTAAAAACTTAAATGAGAATTTTAGTTAGCACAGTGGTTTCTAATATACTTCAGTATTTTTTGTGTTAGATGACATTTTCAGAATGTAATACCAACAGCTTACTAAGTTAATATTAAACTAAAGTTGTTCTGAGGGCTAACCAGTTCCTTATCCCTAACCAGGCCTTTAAAAACTTCTCCTGGCCTTCTACAGTGGACTGAGAGAGTCAAAATAAAATTTAGAGGAGGTTGGAGTAATATAAAGATAGCAAGGTTTGTGCTAATTTGTCTACTTAACTATGATTTATGTTCAGTACACATGGACTCAAACACAAACATGAGAGAATATGCACAAAAATACAACCTATACAAAAAAAAAGACAAGGACACCCCATACATACACAGTACGTAATGCCACAAAGTTTTAAAAAAATAAATATCCATCAGTCTTGCCATCCTTCTCACTTACATACATGCCCTTCAGTTCTGTAGATGCTTGCTGGAAAGATGGCATCATTCTTTTGCAAACACCACACCCTGATAAGAGACAGAAAGAAGGGAATTAATAATCACATTGTTAAATGTCTTTTCAATGAAAAAAACTGAATGAGCAATGTACCTTCCCACACCCCGCCCTTCTGAGCTGCAACGAGAGATATGTAACTTTATAGGCTGGGATTCATGACTAGAAATGTTTTTAGACATCTTCCCCTTAAATCTGGTATTTGAGAACCTTGGACTATCAAAACTATATTATTGCTACCTCTCTCTGACTGACGGTTTTAATTATAGCTGTGCCCATTCTTTGAGAAGTCTGATATAGTTGTGGTGACACACACCTTATTTACTTCCCATATGGATCAAAACTAACGAAGCCTCCCAAATGCTATTAATATTAATATTTGTTTCTTTCTTGTCCTCTCATTTTTTTGCACAATTTTTAAAATCGCCATGTCGTCTTACGTATTGTTATGTGGGAACTGTGGGATTTGTAATTTGTAAACTGCCCAGAGTATTGTGTCCACTAATGGGGCAGTATAAATCAAATAAATAAAATTAAATACAAATTTAAAAATTAAATTAAAGAAAATAAAAATAAAAAATGACCAGAATCCTATTGGTTAGTTACACCAGCATTTAGCAATGGTGCAAACTGAGGAGGCAAACTGCCGCTAGTTAACAAGCTGCCACTTGTACCCTTCATCATGCACCAGCTCGAGAGACTGGCATGCAATGAGGGATACAAGCACCAACTTGTTCTTAAGCACCAATCCATTGCTACCACATATGTCACAGAACATATCTCAGTGTAACTAACCCACAGGATTCTGGTCAATACTTAGTTTTTCAAATCACACATCATAAAATGCAACTAACAGGTATGCCAAAAGCGGTATCTGATCCCCTCCTCGAAGTGCTACCCACATCATACTGGAAATACTATATAGGAATTATATGTGGATCACTATGGTGCATTGCAGTAATTCTTTAAAAGAGTCTTAAGCTGGTTCAAAATGCTACGGCCAGACTGCTGACTGGTGCTGGTCACAGGAGCACAGGACCATATAACTCTTTTTTTACCACAGCTTCAGTGGCTGCCGGATTATTTCTGGGCCCAATTCAAAATGTTGGGTATGACCTATAAAAGCCCAGGCTATCTGAAGGACAGTATCACCCCACATGAGCCTTCTTGACTTTTAAGGTATTCCAGGGAGGCCTTTTTTTCAGTCTCACCACCTCCACAGTCCTCTTTGATAAGCAAGAAACTAGTGAATGTGCCAGAGGATCTTTAGCCAAGTGTTTCCATATAAGGACAAATCAATTTGATTGGAGTCACAATAATGTCAGTGTTAGGAAAAAAAAATACAGATCCTAACCAGAATGGCTCGGGAAAGTCCAGATCTACTCACGCCAACTATGGATTTATTTAAAGACTGCAGTTAAAGAATTTGGGGACAAGTGAATTATATAAGGTTTATTTATACAACAATCTGTTGTCTACCAGTAAGTTCAGCCTGGAAGGCACCCAGTATGGGTTGGTATATTCTTAAACAAGTTCAAGTCCAGAAAATGCCAGTCAGGAGGAGAACCTCAGATTGATTTTGACACTCATGTGAACTCAGTTCCAGCTCTTGTATACATCATAGGAATAGTCTCTATAGATTCCCCAGAGGCAACAGGGCCTGGCCAAAGAGCCTATTACCCACATCTGTGCTTCTCAGGACTAACGGAGAAAGACTATCACAGGGTCACAAGAACATGTGCACCCAACAATGTGAAAGTAATCAGTAAAACTAACATGAGTGGATCAGCTGAAGACCTTCAAAATATAGCCTAAGTGCTTACCACTGGGACGCACAAAACCTTTTCATAACCATTATTTGCAATAACCTTATTTTATCCTGTTTTTTAAATTCACTATTGATCTGTTTGTCTTGCTTACTCTTCTTGTTAAATAAAGTTGGCTTCATATGACTGTGTAATTTCTTTGCTTTGTGTGTGTGTGTGTGTTCCTTCCTACCTCAAGGCACGCTAGTGCACCCACAGGCTCTGTAGGCTTAAAATGAGATTAGGCAAGTCTTAAGAATTTAACCAAAGCACCTTTCATCATATTAAGCACACAAACATCAAGAGACCAGCAGTGGCAGTGTTGGCTTGATTACTAAGCAACAGCAATAATTCAAAGGAGAACCTCCATTAGGACCCAGAAACTTGTGATGTCAGGCTTTGAAGACAGGCCTGTCAGTAAAAGAGGACACAGCCAAGTCACAGCCAAGTCATTTGGCTTCGGAGACTTAGAAATTGCGTGCATATAATGCTAAGAATTGTAGAAAGAAAAACAATTGCCTTGTAAATTAGTATTTTCTTCTAATATTAAGTAGAAAATTATGGGCATTGATACAGGCAAAAGATCAGGGACTAGATCCAACATTTTAGTGGGTGTTCATTACAAAACTAGAATTTTCTTTATCTCTCCTCACTGCTGTAGCTCTCAGTGCAATTCAAAAATCATCTCTGTAGGCTTCCCAGACATACAATGGGGGAGGGGAAGAATAAGGTTCCAGTGTGTAGCAGAGATTCCTGCCACCTCCCTGCCCCCATTTTGCTTACAAAAGCAGTCTCATCAGTAGATGTTCCCTATTCCTCAGGCTAAGACCTATGTTCTTCTATGTAAGTTGCAAAATGACTCCCTGGACCATACAGGCCAGCAATCACTATCTATTGAGGAATATGAGGAATAAAAATTCACCCTTTGCAATCTGAATAGCTTGAACCAGCTACTGCTAATTTAAGAAAGCTTTATCAGTATGAAAGCAAAAGAAGGTCCACTATATCACTTCTTCATTTCAGTCTAGCACACTGTTTTTTTCTGTAGGACATTTAGAAGTAGTCTGTCTTTCAGAACTTTTCAGCATTTTTGGACCTTTCCTTCTCATACATGTTATTTCAAAGCAGCTTTTGGATTCCTTCAATAACTATAAGAATTCTCCTTTTCTTTCCTGTGTACACTTCTGGTATTCACAGTCAAAAAAGTAAAGAGAGATGAACATCTGAAGAACATCTTATGGGACAATCAGTTATGTTCCCGACCCTCAAAAATAATGTACAGTTTATGTTCAATTTATGCTGGCAATCTTAAGTAACATATCATGGTGCTCAAATACCCTTGACTGGTCTAGGGTGAGAAAATAGGATTTGACTAGCATCCATGGTAGTCAAATCTACCATGGATGCTAGTTAGGTTAACTCATTAGGCTGGAGTCAGATTTGCTCAATCAAGGAAGAGGAAAAAGCTCGTTCCATTCATAAAAATAATTTAGGTCCAACAGAGGTTCCCATTCTACTAAGTGGATGCTGCTGTAGATAGAAGAGGAGGGCAATTTTCACCAATTCTTTCTCCTCAAGCCTGGAGTTCATACTGCTGCTTCATTCAGAAGGTCCTTCAAGCCCTGAGAACATGGCAGGTTGCAAGAATAAAGTAGAAATTCTCTCTGCCTTAACCCAATTCAGGGGAGCTTCCAGTTTGCAGAGCCCTACTCAGCAAAACTCCAGATGTAATCCACTTGCATCACTCCACAGAACAGGCAAGGTTGACTAAAAATCCCAAGAAATGGGGAGTTATTTGGACAGAAAGGTTTTTGTATACAACCCCAGTTCAAAATGACTAGCCGTTGTGGGGGTATTTTAAACTTGGTCTCAGGCATCTCCCAGAGAATGCCATAGCAAATGACAATTATAGATGAAATGAGAGCTGTAAAAGAACAGCAACAATATAAAATTCAAACGAAGAGTGTAAAAATATGTCTCCTTCACCACTGTTTATGAATACTAGCAAGTATTTTCCTACTTTAAAAGAAGTCTTTTGATGCTTTTGAACTGTGGTGCTGGAGGAGACTCTTGAGAACAAACCTATCCATTTTGAAGGAAATCACCCCTGAGTGCTCACTGGAAGGACAGATCCTGAAGTTGAGGCTCCAATACTTTGTCCATCTCATGAGAAGAGAAGTCTCCCTGGAAAAGGCCCTGATGTTGGGAAACTGTGAAGGCAACAGGAGAAGGGGACAACAGAGGACGAGATGGTTGAACAGTGTCACCAAAGCTACCAACATGAATTTGACCCAACTCCGGGAGGCAGTGGAAGACAGGAGGGCCTGGAGTGCTCTGATCCATGGGGTCACAAAGAGTCAGACACGACTTAACGACTAAACAACAAAAAAAGAAGCCTGGAATGCAGATGAACAGGGGAGAACCTAATGCAATATTCTTCATCCTAGTGCACTCCAGATATGAGTCAATGGCCATGCTGGCTAAAGATAATGGGAACTGTAGCTCAGTGCACCTGGATTAGGGAAACCTGGTCTCCAGGAATGGTTCCTACTGAAGTGTCAAAGGTGCATTGTAAGGAAAAAAAACTCTATTGCAGAAAATAGCTCTTTGCCAAGGAGACAAAATTATAAAGATATTCTGATACCATGTACTCTCCTTAAAAGAATGGTTTACAGGCCCAAAGCAGACATTGGAACTTCACATTGCAAGAAAACAGCAGGTGGCTGCAGCACATGCTGTGAACCACAAAGCAGCAAGGCCATCCAGAGATAAATCCCCAACTACTGGAGTGCCTAGAGACGTTTAAGAGAACAGCAGTTAAGTGCGTATCTGCATGGAAGAAAATTATGCACTCAGAGAATATTTGGAAGGAAAAGTCACAGGCAACGGCTTTCTCAATACTCAAGAGGGGATTATTTTGCTCGAGTTGATGCTACAGAAAACAATGCCTCAAGAAAGAAACAGCAGATTTCACAGCACATTACAAGGGGCAAATCATGCAAGCCAACACCAACTTCCTATCAAACAAGCATGAGTTTCCTTGGCCAAAACTCGTCAGCTCCCTTGACAATTAAAATAATAGCTCTGAAGACCCAGACTCCTGAGCTGACCTCTACTGAGAGGATGTTAAGCTTCTCTCTTCTTTTTTTAGTTGATGACTTCTAAGTTGGCAGTATCAATGAAAAACATCTGAATCCATCAAGAAGAGAAAGAGAGAGAGAATTTTTCATTTCCTTGAGGATGAAAAGGAGAATAATTGGTGATACCAGACTAGGGATCTTTGGCTAACAGATCTTTCAATTAAGGGATCTATAACCCAAACACTACCCAAAGGTTCTTATAGAGGCGCCTATTAAAAAGGCAATGAGCTCAGACCAAAGTCATTTGTGTACACCTTTAAATGGAGCACTGAGTTCATATTCCTTAGAGAATCACTAAGCAGACAGTCTCTGACAAACACTGATTCTTGCTTAGGATACACATTGCAATCCATCTCTTGGACAATCTTCTGCTGTCACTGGGAGCTCTCCGAGGTACTGCAACGCTTCACTCTGACTGACTAGAAACCCAATTCGTTTCTCTGACATTGTTTAAGAGGTTGCTAAGAGAGGAGTGCTTATTCCCTGCAATTAACCTATGTTCCCTCCAGCTACAGGATTTCCTCAAGAGATGCACACTTCAACAGTCTGACATGCAGATTAAGGCTGTATTTACTTTCCAAAGACAAGTAAAAAAACAAGATATAGAAATGCAAGAGATGCACTTGAGAACCATCAGGTGCTATATACAACAAACAGATCTCTTTCCACTTGAGGGAATACCTCCTCTTTAAAAAAAGTGCTAAGCATCTCATCTAGTTTGATCCTTTGCCCAGCTGGAACAGTATACTTATTCCATTTGTGCAGTCAAGCCAGTTGGTGTGACGCTGGGACAATGTGGAGCCAGAGAAACTTGCTTCTCTAGAAGACTGAGGCTAGACCAAATGGAGATATATAAGAACCCTTTCAACTTGTTACCAGAGGCCATTATAACAGTTTGAAAACTACTAATCTAGTGCAAGCATGCATTAAAACCACAAACATATCTTTCTCAATTATTTAAGCAGGGCACAAACAGATAACTATTTGAAATATTATCATGCCACACTGCTACTGTTGGTGCTGAGATTTGGAACAGGAACCAAGCAAAAAGAAATAGTATCAGGAAAAGAAAACTGTAATAGACTACAATATATACATCACATAAGACCACAATGCATAAAAGGAATAATTTAACAGTAGGCCCATCATTATTGTTCTTCTGAAAAGAAATCATAATCATCACCACCATCATCATCTTAGAACTGCAGAGCTGGAAGGGACACTGTGGGATCATCCAGTCCAGCCCCTGTCAGGAATGCGCAGTGAGGAACCAAATTCCCAAACTCTGGCACCACAGCCACATACCTACTTAAAAGAAATTACAGTATTATATTTGGTTTACTTACAGGGGGCATAGAACATCAAGAGCACAGGCCTATCTTCCTTCTTCAAAAGTCTCCTAAGTTCCTTTGAAACAAAAAATAAAAACATATCATCATGAAAACTATGAGTATTGGAAAGATTACCTCATCCTTTTACATGATCACAATGGTATGTTCATGTAAAAATACTAAATGTTGTTGAAAACAGTATTTCCATTACTGGCAAATAACTTGGATGATTTATCATGAACATAAAGATCTATTTAAGTATGGGCAGCATCAATGGGTTTGGGAACCAAAATCTTACTCACAGATGTACCACAAACTGCATCAGGTCCAGAAATGACCCGAGACTTCAAAAAAAAAAAAATCAAACAAACAGGAAGTGACTGGATGAGTTCCTGGTTTTTTTCTCTTTTTTGAAGGGAGGGGGTGAGGGTACTGACTGAAGTCTTGGAGGAGTCCCTGAGGCCCTAAAGTTGAAAATGTGTACTCATGGAGGCCTTCCGGAAAAGGGAGGGGGAGGGGATTTTTTTCTTCCATGCAAATATGAGGTGATTTGGGGGACTGTGGGATGGCTATGGAGGCTGCAAAAATACTCCTGGGAGAGTGTGTACAGCCTCTGGGTCACAGGTTGCCCTCCCCTGATCTATAGGCTGCAAAATGCTGCTACTTAAGTATGTGGCTCTCAGGAAAGAGGGTTAGATGTGGATTAGGGCAAGTCTTCATACATGATGGTGCCTCCTGTATTTGGACTGACCAAAGGCATTAAGATGCATATGCCAGTATCCCCAAGGAATGGAATCTTGACATGCAATTTATGATCTGTCCTGTCCTGCCCTTTTCCCCTTCTTTCCCCCTTTCCGTATTCTCCATTCTGGAAGTTTCACTTCCAGACTGACCCATAAAGTGTGCTCTCTTGGAGTATGGTAGGGCTGGAAGGCTGAATAGCCTAGGATAGGCCCAGCAGGGACCTGGCTGCCTGTTGGAAAAGAAAGTTGCCCTGGTGCATGCAAGGAGTTCCAAGAAAGCACTGGGAGCAAGTTCCCTTTTGGATTTAGAGTCCGAAAAAAGAAGGGAAAAAAGGATATGCACACCTACTAATGAGTTATCTAGATAACTAATATAATGGATCAAGTAAACTATTTCTGAGCTTTACCCATCCTCTGCTTATTACATATGTGGTTTGGATTACAGATGCTGATGCAGGGAGGTTAAATGGAGCTGGTCTTAAATAACAAAGTTTATGGTTCCGTGTCTAAATCACATTGGCCATGTGACCACGGAAAGATTGTCTTCGGACAAACGCTGGCTCTATGGCTTGAAGAGCGGGATGAGCGCCGCCCCCTAGAGTCGGACACGACTGGACAAAAATTGTCAAGGGGAACCTTTACCTTTATGGTTCTATATTTATAGCCAAAAAGAGAAGCCGTGACCACACTCAAGAGTATTGTTCAAGTCTTCATAAACTATGGTTTACAAAGCTTTGGACAACTGTATGTATACAGCTACTATACCACAGGCATTTGTGAGATCAATTGGTCTTTTTTGTCTAAAATATAGCAAATACTGTATGTCTTCCAATTTAAATGGTCAGAAAATGCATACCTGTCTTGCTAGAAAAGCAACCCACGGATTTTAAGAGAACAACTTTCAAATATAAGATATTACAATTGTGATTTGGTACCTACAGATGTTTGCAGCTTCATAAAGGTCCCATACATGTGGAATGTTGTTACTGATTTAGAAATTGATGCATTTGTTTTCTCCTAAATACAGTATATGCAAGAAGAAGGGTAATCCAAAACAAATTAACAGGCCAATTTTGCTGTAGGATTTATTGATAAAAGATTTATTCAGGATATTAAGAAGCCTCTAATCTGTACTAATAAACAGAGACATTTCACATACAAGTTAGATTGTAAATCTTTACATTGCTTGTTATATGTTGCACAGATTGTGAGCATTTTCTTACTGAACCCTGCAGCAGGGAGATGTTTTGCTGTCTTTTTTAGATTTTTATACTGTTTTGTACTGTGTATTATCATCAATTTATTTTCTTTTCTTAATTATATTGTGTCTTGACTTGAGCATCACAGATAAAAGCCTCCTACTATATATTTTTTAAGGAACAGAACAAAACGTTCTTGCTATGTTCTTTAGGAACAGAACAAAACAGAGGGAAAAGAAATTCACCCCTTAAGAATGTTAGGAAATTTATATTTGTGATGATTCATGCTGATTGTGATTCACATCAGCCCTTGCTTAGTTTAAAAGGTATGGCAGTCTACATGTTGAAAGTAAATAAAACAAGTTCCTTCATTTCCAATATTCAAAGAAAGTCACAGAAATTAATCAAGAAGGCCAAGTTCAGATGTCATTAGAACGATGATCACCTGCTGTATGAACAAACATCCAGCTCCCTGATCCTTCTCCTTTCACCTAGTAAGAGGCTCACATAGGAGATGTCTGTTTCTAGTCAAGTCAACCATGGCTTCCACCAGGGTGAATTTTTATTTAATTTTTTTAAAAAAACAGACGTTTGATTATTTAAATCAAAAATTTAAATAAAAAATCTGATTTTTTTTTTACTTTAAATCATGGTTTAAATCAACTTGATTTTTAAAATTCAGTGATTTTTATTCACCCTGGTTTCCACAACACCTGAACTCCTTGAACATTCATTATTAATTCATTTAAAAGACTCTGGTGTGAAATACAAGTCAGGAACTCTAATCATAGTATAACCGAGATTCATTTTCTTTAGCACAGTTCAAATAAACTATACTTTCACGTATAGATTTTACCAGTAACAATGGCTTGTTTAACACTGAAAGAAGAATGATTCGATCTCCCCTTCACACAAAATAGATGGGAGGGTCACGTGAGCCCAAGACATACCTTGCTCATTCTCATTACAGAAAGGGATGCCTTAGATTTATTACCGGGAAATTAGAAGAGATGTGGTGACAGAGGCCTAAGAATGGATACTACTCAGAACCTGCCAAGCAGCCATCTGGAAATATGTATTATAAGATGTGCACACCACTGGCAATCTTTTGTTGATGATCCTGTGTTTAGGACTATTTTCTTCAATGAAGCATGTGCTCTGTTCCTAAGGACTACATCCGACAGGGGAAGAAATAGCTTGCTTCCTTTAAACAGAAATCAATCCAGGGGATGGAGGGGCCATGAGAATGGATTTTTCAGAGTTAGTGTCATGAGAAAGGCAAGATGAAAATTTTTAAATTGAAAATGACCCCAAGAGGGCTTGTAATTGAGAACACAAAGGTGGACATTAAAAATTAATCTTCTTACAAAAAGAGAATACTGTACCAAAATAACTGTTCCTAATGCTAGAATAAAAGTGAAGAAATTGAAATGACTCTATGAAATACCAGACAGAGACCAATCAATTAAAATTTAAAATCAACAGGGTGGAAAAAAAATACAATACTCCGCTCAGGGAGTTACCAGAGAAGTAGTAGTAATAATGAATCTGAGGTTCAAGACAAAGAAAAGTAGCAGTAGGGTTTAGGACTGTTCTCCTATTTTCTGAATCAAGTCCTGTTAAACCTAGGAATGCGAGGAAATCCATATCAGGCTTGCATCGGCTGGGCAGGAGATTGCAAACAATTTATTAGCCCTTGTCAAGTCATTGTTCTCAAACCTATTAATGCCCAATTAATATTCACTTCCTTTTATAACCTGGAAGTGTTGTTTGTATATACATTTTTATACCACCTTTACATAAAAAGCAACTAGGTTGGTATGAAATTTTATTTATTTAACTGATGTGTTACCTTTCTCCCAACTGAGTAATGTAAGGTGGCTCACAATCAACTTAAACAGTATAAACATAATTAAAACACAATGAAATACGTTGTTTGAAAGCAATTTAAAATTTATAATATTAAAACTGCCACTTAAAAACATTTAAAAACACAAATTCCTCAGATCAGTAGGGGAGAATGTATATCTGGCATTCCCATAATAACCCTTACTTGACAAAATCAATTGAAAACCTGCCTAAAAAGGTCATTGCCTGCCTGCCACCAGAAGGTTAAGGGAGGGGCACAATTCACAGCTTGGGAGTAGCCACTAAAAAGTCCATACAAAAGGAGCTCATGATGGCAGTGGGACAGACAGAAGTTATTTCCCTGAAGATTTTTAAAGCTGAAGAGGTTCATACAGGCTGGATCCTTCAGAAGCCCCACCATACAGCTAGTAAATACTGTACTGTATATTAAATAATTTTCTCCCTATAATGGCCCGCACTTGAGGCAGCTACCATTAAATCTTTTATGGTATATATTGAGGGATACAGAGTACATTGTCATAGATGTGATGTTGCCTGTTCTTCTCCTCACTCACAAAGGACTGCGTCAGTTCAAAACCCCAAAGTTCTTAGGTTCATTTTAGTTCTGCCAACTCCAGTACACAGCCTATTAAGTGACTTTCAAGTAACTCAGCTCTCCATGTGGCCAGGGACTAGACTTCCCTGGGGCTACATTCATTTTAACAGGCAGGTATTCTTTCTTTCCATGTTACAGTCCCCACAATCTCTGCTGTTCCTTCAAGAGACACAACATCTTTTCCTTCGTTTGAATCTGGCAGAGGGAGCATGGTAGCCAAAGAACGGATGCACATATAAAGTAAATGCGTTGAGTCTTTCAGTATTAGCTGTTACCTCTCTGTGTATGTCATGGGATGCAATACCAATGAGGAAGTTGATTTTATTAACAGGGGTTGGCTTCAGGCATCTGGTAACGATTCTACAGCTTTCAGTTAGTGCTGTGTCTAAAGTACCCTGAAACATCAGGGAGATGCAAAAAACTAATGGCATCTTTCTTTAGTAGGACCTGAATTTCATCTTCCAAAGAGGGGGAGGGGGGAGGACTTGAAATGGCCTGTGATGGGGGGAGAATCGAATTCTATAGCATAGCCAGTGGCTATGATAGATAATACCCAAGAGTCAGATGTGATGGAGTGCCAGCAGTGCAAGAAAGGGGCCAAACAGACTGACGGGTCAACAATAGAGAACTTGTAACTATTAAAGAGACTGCTTGTTTTTGCAGTCCTGTCGGAGGTTTGGCGGTTTTGTTGGTGGCCTGCCCACTTGCCTAGGAGGTGCAGGTTGGTAGCTTTGACCCTGGGACCTCTGATGGTCTTGATACCCCCTAGGATGGTAAGAATGCCTCCAGATGCCTCTTGGACGAGACTGTTGCGCAGAGTAGGACCGCACCATCTTCCGGAGCTTGAGCAGGTTGTCAAGTATCTCATTGGTCTTTTCATTGAAAAGTCCTGCTCCATCAAACGGCAGGTCCTCTATCCGTGCCCTGCCATTGTCCGAAAATGCCAGCAGAGCGCAGCCAAGCATGACGGCGAAGAGAGATAGTAGTGGCCAACTGCTTGGAAGCCGCTTCTCAAGTGCGGCAGGTGGCAATGTGCTCATGTCTTGCAAGCCCCGTTGCCTCCTAATGATATGAGAGGCCTTGGGCTCGAACATCTTCAGGAACCGCTTCTAGAATGGGCAATGCCAAATTCCACAAATGGCGGTGGTAAGCACCCATGGCAGATGAATAGTTGGCCACCCTGAGGACAAAGGAGGCTAGAAAGTACATCCTGCAGCCCAGGACATCCAATCTGCGCCTTTCCTTGTCAGAAGGAGAAGTAGCAGAATGATCTCGGGCCCTGTTGTGAGTGCTGTCAACAACTAAAGAATTCGGAAAGGGGTGCTTTAAGAGGCAATCCGTATCAGTCCCATATACTTTATACAGATTCTCAATCCTTTTTGGAATTTGATAGCAAGTAGAAAGCTTAAGTCATGACTCTTCTCATGAGTTCAGAGAGGGATGGTATGAATCCGAGGCATACTGGAGGAGTCTGTTCCTGAGTGATGTCTTCATACACCTTGTCTGTTTTCTTAACTGCAGCCACCTCAACATCAAGCTTGAGGACCTTCACTATTCAGTGAATGAGGTGGGAGTGGGAGTAATCGTCTGATGGTGACGGAGGATGGTTGTCTGCCATGTCCAACACAGGAGTAGGAATATTAATTGGTGAGTCCTCCTCTCCCTCTGAGACCTGGGAGTCAGAATCCTGATCGTTAGAAGGGGAATAAGATGCCTCCTCTAGTGGAGCTGGGGACAAGTCTTATCCAGCTCGGGCTTGAGCCAAGCTCGCCTCGGGTCTGACTGCAGGGTAAATATAGCCCGCATGGCCCACCTCTGGGTCAGGCGCCAGCTGAGAACGCTTGACACCTCCAACGGTAGCAGAGGCCAGCAGCAGGTGCCTTTTGCAAGGTCAAGAAGGAGACGGAGGAATATAGCCCTCTTCAGCCTCAGGTGCGATTTCACACCATCCGCGGTACTGAGACGGAGCTGGCAAAAAGGGCTGAGCATAAGATTCGAAGTGTTGATACCAAGGGTATGGGTCATATTGATAGGGTCCTGGATAAAAAGGCAGGTCCTGTTCAAAGTCCTCTGCCCCATACAGCGGTGGGTAGTCAAGGTAATGCCATCAGCCTTGACGAGCAGGGTACCCCCTCAGCTCCGACTGCCAGCTATATGGGTCCAGTTGCTCAGATAGATCCAGGTGTCAGGATTTATGGGTTCTCTTACAAGGAAGGTCAGTTGGAGCCGGTGCCAAGGCCACCGGCTGATGCATCAACGAGCCCAACGAAGAACGTGAGCTGGCCTGTGCCAATTCAACAACCTCTAGAAAGGTGTTACCCCAGTCAGGAATATCACTGGTGGAAGGGTATGATGACGGCAGCTGCAGGGGTACATTCTCTTCCCCCGAATGTACTCAGGCTCACCGAATGTTGCTGGGATATCTCCGGCCTCGGTGCTAAGATTTCAGCAGCTTTAACAGGCTTAGGGGTTTTCTTCTTCTTCAAACTCAATGTCATAAGATTGCAACAGTGTTGACGCTGCAGCCGTCGACCTTGAGCCCAAGGACGATTTTGGTTTGGCTGCCATTTTCACTGCCTTCTTGGCTGCAACCTCAGGCGAAGCTGCCAGAGACGGTTGTAGAGCTTTGGGGGAATCCATACAGGCAGTTCGAGATGGTGAGAAGGATTTATCCCAAAGAAACGATTTAAGGCGTTGGAGCCGCAACTTCAGAACCGGCTTCGTAATGTTTTTGCAAAGGGTGCACATGGCCGGCTGATGTTCTTTCCCAAGACAAAATAAACAACGGGAAGGCTCGTTGGAGAAGGGGGTTTTGTTTGAGCAGACCTCACACCTCTTGAAGAGGCCCGGCGAGGCCATAAACTCAAAGTAAGCAAAACGACAATTAATCCATTTTTTTTCTTTTTGCAGATAACTCACAGTTGCGAAGCGAAGGTCACCAGTTCAGAATCAAGTCACGGAGGTCCAAAGAAGAGGGGGAAAGGTAAGACAGACTGATTGAATGAGCACATGAAGTTCAAAATAAAGCTGCAATAGTGGCAATCAAAAAGGAACTGAGGAATTCAGTGCCGGGGCAGAGTTATAGCCAGCGTGGGGGAGGCCCCCGCACCATGTGCTCGAGCTAAAAAGTTCCGAGGCTGCTCCATGCAAGTGCGGATTAACCCATTAGTATGCATTCACAGAGACCATGAAGAAGAAATATTATTTCATACCACTACTAACAACTTGGGTTTGTTACCTTTTCACTGTCAATATGAACAATATCTTTGGCTTCAGGATCTTCCTCCCATAATGGAGCTCCTTCTGGATCTTTTAGAAAGGCCACCACTGACTGCAAAGAAGTACAAAGACAAAAGCTGTTACATGCAATTGCAATAGAAAATATAGTCAGCTCATGAAAAGCAGACTTGGGCCTTTTGCCTTTATGATCAATGTTCATTGGTCCACTCTTCTACGTACCATTTTTTAAAAGCTGTGCTATATGTGATTCTCTTCCTTTAAAGTGTCTTTAAAATCTCAAGAGATACTTGGTACTGAACCTGTGTGGCAGAGTTGATGAAGTAGCCAGAACATTAAGACTATTGCCAGGCACACTCAGGGTTGAAGATCTCAGTCAGGAAAGAGGTTTTCTCTATGTGATGTAAACCAGTCACCATCCCTTAATCTAACATACCTGACCATTTTCTTGCAGGTATGGGAACAAAATAAAAGTCACTTCAACTCGTTGTTGTTGTTTAGTCGTGTCCGACTCTTCGTGACCCCATGGACCAGAGCACGCACAATATTCCACCTCTTCTGTTGCAGCAGAACTTTGATAGTCGCATTAGATCTTTCTGGACTACCCAAAGGTGAGGAGGGCCAACTTTTCAAAGGCTAATAAATACGATTGGATTTCCTAGTTTAAAGAAAGCCTGCATGCCAAGGGTATATGCCACTGCTGTGCTCATTCCAACCACAAAAGAGAATGATTTCATTTAATTCAGTTATGATCTCTCTCCCACACCTGAACAAAACAGAATACTTAATATTTTCTGACAGAAAAGGTAGCTTGTTGCCTTTTGTTCAGTCTTCTGTTCTCTGGAACTTTAAAAAACCTTTTTTTAAAACATGCAGGAGATGCCTACAGCCAAGACTATGAACCATCTGAAGTCCCAGGTATACAAGAAAGCTGAGGATTGCAAGATAGTACTCATCAAAACAACTCTTGACCTTGTATGCTGAGTCCTTGGTGAGTTGGGACATATATTCATGGCTATAAAAACTTCAGCTATTTGTACTTGGCTGAAATTAATCTAATAAAACACTGCATTTGTCTCTGATCACAGTGCTCTTAAGATATTCATTCATTCACTCACTCATTCCCTGCCTTTTATTTCCAGAAGGAGACTTCAATGCCCTACTGTGCCTTCTGCGAGTAGAGTCAGCTTGTGTGGCCTTGGGCAAGATCCACAATCCCAGGGTACACCCAGAAGAAGTGGTTGGTAAACACCTTCTGAGTACTCTCTACCTGGAAAACCCTGGAAAGGGTCACCATAAGTCGGAATTGACTTGACAGTACATGAATAAATTAATAAATTATTTAAAAGAACTAAATAAAACTCATTCAAAATGATTTAAAAGCGCATTTAAAAAGACAAGACAACTCCCCCATGAAAACCCCTTACTTAGCAGCAATTGACTTACTAAAAAGAAAGGTCTTTGCTTGCCATTGAAACAAAAAGAGGGAATGGGGGGGGGGGAATCTGACTTTCTGGAGAGTGTGTTCCACAGTGAGGGAGTAACCACCAGGCGGCCCTCTCACAAGTCCATACCAAGCAAGAGAAAGGCTTTCTTCAAAGATTTTAAAACTCATACAGTATATGCTCATATGGGAAAACAGTCTCAGACAGCCTTAGCCCAAACTGTTTAGGGCTTTAAGGTCAAACCCAGCACACTGAAAGGTGCCCAGGAACTAACCAGTACTGTTTAGCAGCTATTACGTATAGTTTTCAAAATGCAGAGTTCTAATGCTAACTCCTATTGAGGGGACAAAAGAGAGAGTACAATTATTGATCATTTAGGACAGACTCTGTATATCACCCCAATATTTCTGTTCAAATAACAAGCTTTCTCCCAGGTTTTGAAAACAGCTTCTATTAAGGGAAGGGGGCAGAAGATGTAGTGATAAATAAACTTCTGCACATAGCTCTCTGGATCTGCAGTAAAGTGGGAGAGATCTGCTACCTTGTTTATTATTTATTTATTTAAAATATCCCCCCCCCGCTTTTTTCCATAAGAGGACTGAAGGCAGCCTACATCATTAAAAACAAGTTATTTAAAACCAACAAATTATTCAATTTAAAAAAAAAGAATTAAACAAGCATTGTATATAAAATGTTAAATAAAAGCATTATTATACATATTAAAAGCAACAAAATACTAACCATCCCTATTATAAAACCCCTCTTAGACAGCCAGTCACTAAGGGGAATCCTGCCTGAAGAGAAAGATCTTCTCCTGGTTGCGGAGCAAAGATGGAGCCCTCCTATTGGAGGGAGTTCCAGAGTCTGGGAGCAGCGACAGAGAAGGCCCTGTCCTGTGTCACCACCAAACACACCTGTGAAGGTGGTGGGACCAAAAAAAAGGCCTCCCCTGATGACCTTAACACTCAGACAGGCTCGTAAAGGGAGATGCAGTCTTTAAGAGAGCTGTTTAAGGTTAAAGCGGTTTAGGTTAAAACCAGCACTTTGAATTGTGTCCGGAAATGGAGTGGCATCCAGTGAGTGGAGCTGTTGAAACGGAGGGTTATGTGATCCCTGTACCAGCTCCGATTAACTATCTGACTACAACATTCTGGACCCACTGAAGTTTCTAAACACTTTCCAAAGGCAGCCCCACATATAGCACGATACAGCAACCCAGCCAGGACGTAACTAAGGTGTGTCGATGTGGCCAGATCAGATTTCTCCAGGAATGGGTGCAGCTGGCATGGTATTTTTAATTATGCAAAGGCACTTCTGGTCACTGCTAAGACTTGGGCATCCAGGCTCAGAGACGAATCCAGGAGCACATCTGTGTTTTCAGAGGGAGTGCAGCCCCATCCTACACAGGCTGCATCCCTGATCCTTCATCTGCCTTTCGACTGAGCAGGAGCACCTCTTGTCTTGTCTGGATTAAGTTTCAATTTATTTGCCTTCGTCCAGTCCATTAGTGATACCAGACGCTAACCTAGAACTTAAAGAGTTTCCTCGGATTTAGATGTAAAGGAGAAATAGAGTTGAGTGTCATCCGCATACTGGTTACACCAAACCCCCAAACTCTAGACAAGCTTTCCTATCAGTTTCATGTAAATGTTAAATAGAATGGGGACAAAACAGAACTGTGGGGGACCCCAAAAGCCAATGGCCAGGGTGTCAAGCAGAAGTCCCATAGCACCACCTTCCGAGTTCTCCCCTCCAGGAAGGGCTGGAGCCACTGTAAAACAGTGTCTCCAAGTACCATTCTAGAGAAACGTCCCAGAAGGACACCATGGTAACACCACTGAGAGGTCCAGCAGAACCAAGAAGGACACACTCCCCACCCAATTCCCAGCATAGTTCATCCACCAAGGTGACCAAAGCAGTCCCCATCCCGTAACCAGGTTAGATTGAAGTGGATCTATATAATCTGTCTCATCCAGGAATTCCTGGAGTTGAGAAGTCACAATCTACTCTAGCGCCTTGCCCAAGAATGAAACATTAGAAACTGGCCAATAATACTGTGGGAACCAAGGAGGGTTTTTTCAGTAATCGTCTTACTACTGCCTCCTTTAAGCATGCTGGGATCCTACCCTGTTGCAAGGAGGCATTCCCCACTCCTTACACCCACTTGGCCAGTTCCTCTCTGGCAGCTTTTATAAGCCAGGCAAGGGTCCAACACACAAGTGGTAGCCTCCACCTTTCCAAGGTGCGATGGATCCATCACAAGAATATTCAGCATTGGCAGGAGTTCCACTATAATCTCAGCTGCCTAAACGTGGAGCTGGTAAATGCTTTTTCATGGAACATCAGATCTGTAGGTAGCACTGGAATTCAGGAGGTAATACTGTATTGCCTTTTCTTCTACTACTCATTCCCTTTGCTAAACAGGTTAACAACCAATTACGCTTGTTTACTCTTAAGCTCTACTAAGCTGAATAAACCTGCTTCAAACATACAGAGGATTTCACCCTCATACACTGCATGTACTCTCTCTTGTTGGCTAAGAGTATGTAGAAAGCATTACAGGCATGCAGGTTCCCCTTTAGCCTACCACACACAAATGCACACTTTTGCTATCTAAGCAAACCTTGCACACATTTCTGTCTGTTTCAATAAAAATCACTAAATCTTAACAGGTGAAGCTGGAGTTTGAACAACAAATTCCAAGATCGTATATTTGCACAACTGTGATTTTTGCTGTGTTCTTGACAATACTGAACTTTCTGGGGATGGAAAACAGTCTAAGGTAACAAATTTCTCCCACTTTACCTCAGGTTGAGTCAGCAATCCAGAGAGCCACACCTAGAAGTTTGTATATGCGCCACATCTTCTGCCCTCTTCCCTTAATAGAGGCCCAAATTGCTGCTTGAAAAGCTGTTCTCAAAACCTGGGAGAAAGCTTCCTAAGCCATTTGTAGTGCAGGAGGTGGGAGGAGAGGGAAGTAACAGAAAATCCAGAGCATCAATGCTATACATACGCAAAACCTTGTGTGTGCCTAAGAGGACTCTCTGAATTCCAGCCCAGGAAAGACAGAATGATGGAAACAGCCCCGATAGACCTGAACACCTACCTAGATCAGCCCAGGAAAGACAGAATGCTGGAAACACCATGAAAGCCCCGATAGACCTGAACACCTACCTAGAACACCAAGAGCATTTCCGTGTTGTCTTAAAACCTTGCACAGCATATCTATGGAGCCCTGTTTGCTATTGCAGGTTCAATGCAAAATGAAATCTTCAATCTGTGAACCCACAAAATGGCAGCAGGTTCGAAGACATGAGAAGATCTGACAAGACATGTTCATATGCAGGGTAACGTGTAATATGTCAAACAGCTGCCAAGATGTAATAAATCAACAGCTACCAAGAACTAATTTTGTAAATAACAATAATAGAATATAAAATGTGTTCCAGGCATTTTCCTTTATGCTACTGAAGATATTCCTTTTGTTTTCTCCCCTGCCTGTTCTACTGTATTGGTTAGGCTTCAGATTACGTAGTTGTACAGAGGGAACTATCATTTAAAAAATGATATTGTACAGCACATCATAATTTTAGCGGCTTTATAAATAAAACAAAAGATTATAATTAGTGTGTTTTCTATGTCTTTTCTT